AAAACAAAAAACAAACTAAAAAGTATAATTATTAACAACACAATTTAAAAACTATTAAAAAAATTAAAATTAAAAATTAAAACTGTAATAAATTAAAGTAAAACAGTAATAAAAAAAAAATTAATGAAAAAAACAAAAGGGGTGGTCTCTGATAAAGGTTTCCCTGGAATAAAAACATTTCCGAAATAACCCGAAACATTGCGTACATAGCACAGTATCAATTTAAGGCCAGAGATATGATTTGCACCTAAATGGGTGGATATTGGATCAATTTCTATGAAATCGTTGTCATTGAATTAAAAGATTTTAACTTAAACTTTTAGCACTAACAAAATTTTATTTTAACAAATATGGCTAATTATGTTGATGTAGTATTTCTCACCCCAGAATCAACTTGTGTATTTTTTATTTGTTTTTTTGTAATGAATTAAGTTTGACCCTAAGATATGTTTGAAATCTATTCAGATAAATCTTTTTTTAAGACAATATCCAAAGGACACACGTTTGCTCCCTATGAACAAACGAACTTGTTTTAGCATACATATTTTATTTTGTAAATAAATGTTTAAGAACGTAAAGTTATTGCCACTCTATACTCCTTAATTACTGTTCAAATGAGTAATTAAGTTGCATATAATAATTTATTTATTTTGCAGATAGAACATCTTAAAAGGATAGGGCAGCGATTATAAAGACAATGTACAAAAGATTTTGGGAAGGTAACTAACTATTTTTGAAAAATGTTCTTTATAAATATTTAAACAAGATAGTAAGTGGCATAATTCGCTCTTTTGACTCTTTTTATTGAAAAGTTGCATACTTTTTATATTGACCAAAACCAGATAATTCTGAATTTGCAACTAAATGATGAGAGGTTTTACTAATTGAAGTTGTATAAATCCTGAAACCATTATAGTAAAATAAATCAAAAATTTATGAATTAACAGATCCATTTCATAAATTTGAACCCACGGCCAAGTATAATATAGAGGGGAACCATGGAAAATTGAAATTTGAAACAACAGAAATGTGCAAAGTTATTGTGGGTAGGTAATTTGTTTACTGTTGAATATTTTTTAAGTGGTGTCAATATAGTTTTGAATTGTATTGCCGTCTTAGTAATTTTGAGTAATTTTTGGAAACCATTGTTACAAAAGATCCTGGTACTCGAGATTGGAAGCATTGTTACAATATATCCTGGTGCTCAATATAGGTGGCATTTGTACAATAGATCCTTTTGCTCGAATAAGGTGGCATTTTAACAATAGATCCTGGTGCTCGAGATGGGTGGCATTGTTACAAAAGATCCTGGTGCTCGAGATGGGTGGCATTGTTACAATAGATCCTGGTGCTCGAGATGGGTGGCATTGTTACAATAGATCCTGGTGCTTGAGATAGGTGGCATTGCTGCATGTACAGGTGCGTTAAATGTTTAAAAGCGGAGCTGCCTTTATGTAAACCAGTGAATTAATAAAAGAAATGGCCTTGTATAACATTTTATTCCCTGCCTTTGACGTTCTACGTAATTGTTAACTTAAGTTTACAAAATATTATTTGTGGTTGTTTTTTTTAGGAAGAGTAAATTTTGGAAGCCTACTCAAAAATAAAAGAAGCTTAATTAAAGATTACGAAAAACACAGATCCACTTCATAAATTTTGTCTGTACATCCTTTTTTTCAATTTTTCAATTTGTTACCATTTCGAAAAAAATTAGTTTTCTTTCTTTTCTGATATTCTTTTATCATTAAAGAGTTATGTCCAACGAACTCATGGCCAAATATAACATGAAGGGGAACCGTGGAAAATTGAAATTTGAAGCAACAGCAATGTGCAAAGTTATTGTGGGTAGGTAATTTGTTTACTGTTAAATATTATTTTAAGTGGTGTCAGTATTGTTCTGATTTTTTTGTGATTTTGAGAAATTTTTGGAAACCATAGAATTAAAAAAAAGTAAGTAAGAAAATAACTTGTCTCATTGGTGTTGAGGTTCACATTTTGAGTTTATTATTCCATTTATGAGATTTAAATATCAAATTATTTCTCTCAAAATAATGTTGCTTTCATAAAGGAATTATTTCAAGATGATTTGAAAAAAATAACCTATATTTTCCATCATTGATCTGTGCTTGCAAAGTGTAATCCCTACTTTATAACAAATATTTATAAAGAATATTTTTATGATACCTAGAAAAAAATTATAATTGAAGTCCGGGGATTTAACTCTGATTTTAAATTTGCTTTAAACATCAACAGCACTAAATACATGTTTGTTAACACTAAACTGTTTGGTTTCACATAAATTATATATTTTTTTAATTTTAGAAAGTGGTAAAAAGATGTTCCCTGTCACAGAACATGACAAACTTCAGGTAACAGCAGCTAACCTGAAATACGCACCTGACAGAATAGGAGGAGGTGGTCGAAAGAAGAAATCTCGGGCAGCAAATGATGGGGCAGAAGACACCAATGAAGACACCAATGGAGCAGAAAATTGACATATATATATTTTAAAATACCACATTAAATATGTAGAATTACTAAGATTGATTCATTATTTGTTTTGTTTCAACACATAATTTAAGTGTAAAAGCTCATAGTTCTGCATTTAATTTACCTTATAAACTTGGATGATTTATATTTTTTGGTTTCTCCTACATTGACTTTTTACATTGACTTTTCCTCTCTGTTATCCTGGGCTGTTTTAGATGAGCGATTATTATTGCTTATACGTCAGAGCTGTCCTTACTTTGAATGGTCTAATCGAGTTGGTCCTTAATTGTTTATATTTATATAAATCAGGGTTTAAGAACATCCGTTGTTGAAATATACTTTATCACTTTTTGGTCTTGTTTGTCCTATATTTTGACTCCTCTGCCAAGAAATTGCGGTTTTTATCCAACGCAATCATAGGTTGGAATGTTGTTATCAATTTAGACTTGTTTATATATGTCTAACTGTAGAAATTAAGCAGCTCTTTCACCATAGCCTTTTAACCCCTGGTCAACAGCAAAGTAGTTGCGGAGACTTGTCCTCAAGCACTGAATTATAAGGTTACCAACATTTGGTGGAAGGAATGATTTTCTGAGGTTTTAAAGATTTTAAATAGATATAGGAAGATGTGGTATGAGTGCTAATGAGACAACTCTCCATCCAAATAACAATTTATAAAAGTAAACCATTATAGGTCAAGGTACGGCCTTTAAGCACTAATTAAGGACGTTAATTTAATTGTATGAATTATTGTTTTTTTACCTTACTTTGCTTTTTAATTAGTTAAGATTTCTGGGGATATTTGTTGTCAGTTTGTTTTCGATCTATGAGTTTGACTGTCCCTCTGGTATCTTTCGTCCCTCTTTTAAAGAGGGTTCTGGTTGTTATGACTTTGTAAAGACTTCTGTTGATATTTAGAGGATAAATACTGGCTGTTATGACGTTGACTAGACGTCATACAGAGGTCTGAGGATATTTAAAGATGGTTAATATCGGTTGTTATGACGTTGACTAGACGTCATATAGACGTCTGAGGATATTAAAAGAGGGTTAATAGTGGTTGTTATGACGTTGATAAGACGTTGTACAGATGTGGAACATCCGTATTCAGGTTCATCCTGCTGTTTGATCTGATGTTGTACCAACGTCGTACTGATGTTGTAACTACGTTAAACAGACGTTGAACGGACGTATGTCAAGACGTTGGGTGGACATCAGTTTTTGACGTCTAAAAAATTTCATATGGAACCAAAAATCTAACGTAGGTACAACGTTAGGGTCTGACGTCAGATTGATGTTTATACAACGTCAAATGTCTGCTGGGAAGGAGCAATAATTGAAAAATCGGTTGACCGATTTTTAAAGAAAATTTCTAAGGAGATAAACCTTGACCTGATGATCATTTTAACCCATGTTAAATTTGCGTTAATTGCTTTAATTTTTGAGATATAAACGAAAAGCTGCATTTCACCCCTATGTTTTATTTTTAACAACAGCGGCCATGTTTGTTAGTTTGTTCAAGTCCTTGGATACAATTTTCAAACTAAATACACAAAGGATCATTCAGGTAAAGTTTAGTAACATTTGGAGAAGAATATTTCTTAAAGTTTATGACGACGGACAGACGTACAGACGCCAAGTGATGGCAAAATCTCATATATCCATATGTTTAGATATTCAAGCTTCTTATCATAAAATAAAATACCAAAAATTAAACCGTGTAATATTTTTCTTAAATGGGTCCCAAATTTAACGTCATTAGGGCGTGACGTCTAATTTCGAATGACGTCATTGTTGAGCATGTTTCGTTACAAATGTCTATCTATCGTTATCGTGTTTGCTGGCACATGAAGTGCATCCATATAAAATTAGTGGCAACAAAGGGTTAAAAGGAGCATTCAATTCTTGCATTTTTTTCAATTTTTTATTCATAAGATCGTCATGAATATGACTGAAATATTTACAACTGTGACAATCATTCGGATATTCGCTGTATCAACACGTCATGTCTGGATTCCTAATTAATATTTATTTTTTTTTATGATTTGTTTTTTATCCATATGACCATCTCTGCAATTTTACATGGTTCCCATTTTGGATTTTCTTATTCTAATTTTGTAATTTTTTTTTATTTCAGAGAATTTTGCCCAAAATACTTTTGCATTAATGTTGATAGATAGAGGTTTACATATTTTATCTTTGGACCCCAGCAGAAGAACGATATCTTCAATCAATTGTGTACTCATGATGGAATTTACCGTAGACTTTTAGACGTCACAAAGGACATGATAGCGCTAAAAGTTTTTGGAACGTTCTGGAGTTTTAAAGTGAATACTTTTAAGCGATTAAAAATTGTCGGATACGTTAGGGCGAGGTAAAATCTGACACCTTCATCTGGGACTTCTTTTAAATAAACACCTAAGATTATGAACATGTCATTTTGAGTGTCAGGAACGCCCGTCTATAAGGCATATGCAAATCCAATGAATATGAATTAACTTTTGTCTTACCGATCTGAGGGATCCATTTTTCACAATCCGTGCCACATGCATCACTGTCGGTGACAGATCCTGACATTATCCTTTTATTGAAAAAAAAAATAAGTAAATGATTTAATTTTGTTGTATGATAAATGCAGCAGAAGAATTGATAATTGAACAATTCATAAACGGACACGATACATTTTGTAAATCGAATATCTCATCCAGTTGGTTTTCCATACTATTAAATGAGAACACCACATTTTGTGTGTCGCTTCTCTTTCTTCCACAATAAATTAATCATCATGCTCTATCTCCAATAGGTACCATGCATAGTCCTATTTGTCATCCTCACTTATGATTATTCCGTTTGGGTTATTCTGGGAGGAAAACAAAAATAAAGGTGTCCGGATATTGTTTCCGTCATCGGAGGACTTTTAAGTTATAGGGTAGCAATACACAGTTAGGAGTGTGATTTCGCATTTTGGCCCCTGTGGATTTTTTAAATATGAAGATTATTGTGCAATAAAATTCATTTTTAGACAGCTGAGTACTAATTTAGCCTTTAAAGGTGGTTTATAAGAACATCAAGAGTATTTTTTACATGTTTTATGGGCTATTTTCTGTTTGACTGTCCGTATTTTCATAGCTAGACCAGCCGTAGGTCCAGAAATAAATGTAATGTTTACAAACATTTTTTTTCTGCACGAAGTTTTTGACGCAATTTTACAAACAAAATGAGACGAAAGACATATGATTTTTATTTGATTTCCTGATAGATATATGTAAACAGTTTCAGATAAGGTATCACTCCAAGGGATTGAAATTCTACTTCTGGTAAAATTTTTGGGAAATATGTGACATCTTTACCCCCCTTTTTGCAATATTTTATAGAAAATAAATGCAGATTATTGCCATGGATACATCAAAAAGAAATTATATTTTACCATTTTAACTACTGGATATCAAATCTATGGAAGATACTGATTAATTTATAAACATATGCACATGTATGACACAAACAGTAAGCTTAATTTGTAAGAAAGCAAGGAAAAGGGGATGGTAAAATTTATAAGAGTAGATTTTAAAATTTTTTCCTAACTGTGTGTTGCTACCTAGACAAGACTTCCGTTTAGGACTGTTTAAAATTACACAGAATTTTAGTAAATTTCCAAACACAAAATAATTCATGCATTCCATGTTTTCATTTTCACATGCCTGGTTCGTTTATTCGTTAATTTATTCCTTGCTTACGCTTGGGATAAAATTCCACTATAAAGACCCAGGCCATGTGACAATTTTCAACAAATCTATGGCTTGCGTGAATTATTTCTTAAATAAAACTTGAATATATACCTGTTCCAGGGGTCCCAAGAATTTTTATCGCTTCCGGGGACCGAAGGAATATTTGATACCGGTTCCTGTATCTCAGGTACCCAAAACATTGTATGTAATCAAGTTAGGGACTAAGGGGTGTTTGTAAATTTACCAAAATTCTGTGTAATTTGAAACAATCCTAAAACTTTTGAATTCATGTTAATACAAATAGTTGACTTTTGCGTTGACATTCCTTAGATTTACAACCAATATTTTGAACTGGTGAAAAAATATAAAATGTTATATTGACATCAGTTCATGTTTAAGATACTTTGATACCTTTTCTGAAATTCTCCAATCATAAAATCTTTCACAAAAATTCATCCTACAACAGTTTACATACTTTCAACCACGCTCTAAATGCCCGCGATTTCGCGGGTGTGTTCTAGTACCTTTTTATACTAGTCTTTACATTTGGAATGTGTTACGTGTGAAAAGATAAATATAGGAATACAGTGCACGTTGAATCGCCGGGAAAAAGGATTTATTATTGACTTAAAATTATCATTCCTCAATAACCAATCCATAAAGAGGTAATGCCAATTTCTCCCGTATTTGTTTTAACTCAAATGGTCGGATTCAGAAAGGCGGGAAAACGTACTACAACTCGATTAATAAAGCGCCTATACAATATGCTTTGAAAAAATATCATGAATTCATAACAATTTCCTTAGAATCAAAATAGCTGCAATGTACTTTTACGTTTTGTATACGTGTCTTCCTTAACTATTGGTTACAATTCCAGAACAGGTGTTGTGTGTACTATAATCAGGATCTTACGATTGTTTACCAGGCAAAATAATTATCTATAATGGATTGATTTATTCATTTGTTCGTATGCTGATGTTTAACTACACTTTTAAAAACCTTGGTTTAATGTTACTAGCCGCGGGATTTTTTGGGTTATGAGATACCTAGTCTAAAATGGCCTTCTTGTATCTATATCAAGTATAATATACTGAAAGAAACCTACAGACGTGTTTATATAACAATAGTGTTATGTTTGTTTTTGGTATTTTTTGCATAGAAGTATTCGATGGCGACGTTTTGATTTACAAACGTATTGATTATAAAGTAAATCTTAATTTATTTTTCTAATTTTGGCTTATACCTTTTTTTCTGTAGATACATATCAGTTCATGCGGTACAAATAATTTCTAATTTAAACGTTAAACTTTTTAAGCAAAAAATGGAGGCAAAGTTAATGGATATACCTTCTTCGCAAATACTTCGAAAGAAACACTTAAACGTCAACTTAATCTAGAGGAAATTACTATGAATGAAAACAACACCTTAAAAGTTTCGTGCGTCCGCATCGATTTTCTGGATTTACCTTCATCATGAACGCTCAAACATAAACATTTTTAAACTATCTAAAACAGTTATAAATTAGTGTTGGATTTTATTTTCAATATATATCTATTTTATCTCGACCGCCATCAATCAATGAGGTGAGGTATTTTAAATCTAACATGCTAAAATGACCGTCGACCTATTTGAACCTAACTCTCATAAAAAAAGAATGGCCAACGCAGATACAAAGTATCGTGTTTTAGGGAAGCATAAATCGTACTTTGTAAAAGAAATCACTCTGATTCAAACTAAAAATTTTCGCTGAAACTGACATTATCTAAATGCTTGAATTCTTGATTGACAACATTTTTGTTACGTTCTGAGGACTTGTTTTTCAACAAACAATCGGCATTCCCATGGGAACCAACTGTGCTCCTCTGCTTGTCGACTTGTTCCCTTATTCATATGAGACTGACTTCATACAAAAGCTTCTTAGGAAAAAGGAAAAGAAGCTAGCATTATCCTTAAAGTTCACTTTCCGCTACATATATGATGTCCTCTCACTAAATAACTCAAAGTTGGTGACTATGTTGAACGCATCTATCCCATCGAACTTTAAATAAAGGATACAAAAGATACAGTTAAGTCAGACTCGTATCTTGACTTACATCTAGAAATTAACAATGAGGGTCGGTTGAGAACAAAACTTTAAGACAAGAGAGATGATTTCAGCTTCCCAAATGTGAACTTTCCATTTCTATGTAGCAACATTCCAACACCGCCTATATACGGAGAATACATGTATATCTCACAGTTGATACGAGATTAGAGGACTTGCCTATCATGATTATAGATAGAGGGTAGTTGCTCACAAGGAAACTATTAAACCAAGAGTTCCATGTGGTGAATTGTAAATCATCCCTTCGAAAAATATTACGAATGTCATCACAAGTTTGTTGACCGTTATGGAATATCTGTTTCACAGATGACGACGGATATGTCCCAATTGTCGTTACCCAAGTCCCGTCTTCTTTTTCCCCGAATGTGACCTACCGAATAAGACTTATTATAGGATTTGTTCTTAAATTAGCAAACACGACGGGTGGCCACATTACCCTTCCAGAGTGCCTGAGATCACCCCCGGTTTTTGGTGGTATTCGTGTTGCTCAGTCTTTCTATTTTGTGTTTTGTATACTGTTGTTTTTCCTATTCTTTTTTGCCATGGCATTGTCAGTTTATTTTCGACTTATGAGTTGAAATGTCCCTTTGGTATCTTTCGCCTCTCCCTAAACAATTATTTATCCAGTTTGCCATTATAATTAAAGTAACAAGTGATCTTACTTCCTAGTCAATTCCACAAACTGATGAAGACAAGTTTGACCTTCACTTTCAACTATGTCAATGTCATATACAGAATTTTGCTAATAACCAAAATAAAAGAGATAAATGCATGATTTTTTCGATATTTAATTCTAGACTAGTTCAACATACCAACGTTGTATACAAATTATTATAAAAAAAACTGTGACGTTACTCATTTACTCTAACTTGACCATAAAGTATTTTCTAATGGCCCAATTTGTAAGCATAATTTACCAAAATCTGTGATCGAGCTTTTATTTAACTTCGATTATGTAATGGAGTTTTTACCATTCGTGAATGTCGAAATGTCAAAATGAAAGAAAAAAAACCTCTTTGTTAAAAATTCAACTACTTTAGTAATCAATTGAACATCGTTTACATGTTTTGTTTCAAAACATAAACTTGTATGGGTATTTCCAAACAGTATTTTATAGACCCATCAACAACGGAAAAAAATAGATGATAAATAAATAAACTAGCATTTCACATATTTCAAATTTTTAAAGCAATAATTTTGCAAATTCAACGTGTTTTGTTGCTTAATGTAATCCTAATAATTAAGGGTTTTAATAACTTATTAACTAAACCTTATCCTAGTGAATTTCTTTTTTCTCACTAAACTTTTAGGAACATAATATTTTGTTTTTCTTGAAAGCCGGGAACAAGAAACTTAAGTTTAATGACCGAGTCAGCTAATTTAAAACAGTTTAAATTTTAATATTTGATAGAATATCATTTTATGAAAAGGAAGCATATTGAATTGTAGTCTTTAAATTTGTGCTACCAATAAGGAGGGAGGGAAACCAAACGTGTTGTCATTAGTAGGCAAACATCCTGTGATAAGTTTGGTGATGTCATAAACGAGAAAAAGAGGACGAGAGTGTAGCTACCATAAGTGTACCACATTATTGGTCATATTTCAGACAAACAGTTGGTAACGATATAATGATCTTTAATGAAAAAGAGACTGAAGATATCAAAGGGACAATAAAAACATAAAGAGAGAACGACAAACACATAGAAAAAAAAGAAAAACAACGGAAGGACAAACAACAGTCTACTTAACACTATATCGAAAACTAAAGACGGATCAACACGAACCTCATAGGAAAACTGACTGGATCGTATGTGCTCCAGAATAGTAGGACGATCTTGTTCAACATGTGGAACTCGTCGTGTTGTTAATACAAATTTGGTGGTAAGTCTCATTCGGTGATGTGATCACGACAATTGGAATATTTCCGGTGTAATGCATCTGTAAAACATATATTTCATTACGGTCAACCAACTCCTAATGGTTCCATAACACTTTCTAAGGGGTGACTTCAACTTTATCACTAGGAACCCCTTAACCAATCATCATTCTTGTATCAAGGAAATAATGATAGGAAGCACAGGCTCTGGAATATCGTTTAAACTGGAAGACAAACGCTCCTCATGCTGGTTGAATGTTTCCGCATAGAAAACAAAACAAAATTTCACAGTTCATCTCTTTTAGCCAAGTTTTAGATTCAACTTGACCCTCATTGTTAATTTCTAGATGTCAGTCAAGATATGAGGAAGAATTAACTGTATATGGTATTCTTGACCTAAATTTTGACTTGATAGATGCGTTCAACATAGTTAAGGTATGTTTCATCTAAGTAATATTAAACAATTTTGGGGAAATTGATTGCCATTACATAAAACAAACAAAAATTATTCTCTCTAAGAGGAGTAAGAGTTTGAAATCGAATCATGTATCGAGTTTAAGTTAGAAATATAGATTTAGTGTATATTCAAGTATCCCATGCCGGACTTTCTTTCTAGTAAGTAACTGTTATGTGGTACAATAACAAAGTTGTCCTCCTCAGAAAAGGGCTTTAAAGATCCAAAATTGATTTGTTCTCAATCCCTTTCAAGAAGTTAATGACAAAATTAAGACGGGTCGATATTATTGATTAATTTAAGCAATATAATCTGAAATTGGACAGATGTTCGTGATGTGTTTTCTGTCGAGTTGCCTTCATCTTACTCATTCAAAGTGAACAAACATTAAGATGGGTACATTTTCCATTATCTGAAATCATGATGTATTCAAGACTTGTTCCAATGCGAGGTAAGTTTCAAGTTATCATCTGAAAATCCTCATTGCACATGGGATAGAAATAATTTTTGTATGCAGCTACACATTAATTTAAAAGTTTTGACTTCACAGTTAAAAGAAACCCTTTCTCTTAATACATATGTAAACATATGCATCCTAATACAGGTTGAATTTTTCTTGTCTTATGTCTTGTGGAATATCGATTTCATATATGATCAGGATGATCCGTTAATTGAAAGTTCTTAAAACCATCATTTTATGAATAAGGATGATGTATGATATAAGGATTAACCTCCCAAACGATAATTTTTTTTTTAGAAAGACTTCTAGAGGCATACTACAGTCTTCAACAATATACAGGTGTTTAAATCCCAAACTGTCAAAATTTCATTATCGATCAGTTACCAAAAATACTCGAGTCGTAATTTTATATCAAAATGGCCTTATTTCAGGATACTTTTTCATTGTCTTTAGACACATTGATTATTATTTTTTCGGGTTTTTTTTCTCTATTGAACACTCTTTCAGGGAACATGTTTTAGTTATGCATACCTACAAAAAGTATTTTGACTATTATAAAAGTCAGATTTTAAAGTTGTTTTAAATGTTAACGAATTAACAAAATACTCCCATTTTTACCTACAACTGTTCCCAATTCCTTTATTTGATAAAGCCTCAAGTGTAGTAAGCAACCTGCTTTATCATTTTGGGACTAATTTCAGCCTGCAACATATATTATTTAATTGTAAATGTTTTCCTGTGAAACTGTTCCGAAGTCCCTTTATAAATTATATCAAAATGAAGCTCTAAAAAGAAATTTCGATAACTTCGTATTGTTGGTATATATCTAAATCGAAAGTACATTTTCTAAAATTACTGTTCTATCTGCTCTCATTAGTAATCTTTTGAAAGTAAAAAATATATAAATAAGAGGATATAATCAAATGACCAATAACTTAAAACAATGTTTCTCACATTTAGATTTCATATCACTTACGTTAATTTACCTGTATTTATGTTATATCGTTAACGCCAGGAAAGGGAAGTAATCAATAGAGAGTTAGTTAACAATCCAATTTAAGTTAAAGTTTTAGTTAAATTAAATTGAAACAAAATATTTTTTTCTAACTTCTTTGCTCTAATTTTCATATTTGCCCTTTTTTTTTACTTTTTTAGCGTCACTGATGAGTCTTTTGTAGACGAAACGCGCGTCTGGTATCTATGATGAGTCTATTTCTCAAAGACATTTTTGTCAGAAGTGATCTTATATGTCAGTCACTCTGATTAAAAAAAAATATGCATATGTTATTATTGTTTCAAGCTAGACGTCACAGCTATAAGTCTTAATGTTAAGGGCATAAGATACTATTCGACAGCATGATTTATACAGGAACCGAACATTGAATAATAGAAAATTCGTTATAAGCATTCAGTTTGGTACAATTTGGTCAAAATATGCACCAAAACTTCACTCATGCAAGACAATACTTATACCTCATTTAGATTCATATGCATGTGTTCGTATAATTTATCTCAGTTGAAGATGATAATCAAAATAATGACAGCTGGAAAAGTTAAACTAGGAATTCCATAGGAAGACCGATTACGCTGACTGAGTCGACCCACAAAAAAAATATTCTTTTACAGGCTCAGACGCACGAAATTTATTAAATATTCTTTATATACACTGCCACTGGGTCGATAGCACTGCTTGTGGACTGTTAGGTGCCAAGCGTATCATAAGCTTAGAAGTCAGTGCTTCGGCGCCGACATGATTTAAAACAAATATTTTAAAATTCCCCGTTGATAAACTTAACTACGATTTTTTTAAAGAAACTATGGTTACATCTCTAAGACAAAGTTGACTTTCGATAAAATGGTTGTTCTTTTAAAATCTCCTTTGTTCTTGAAACTCCTAACGTTTCTACGTATTTATGCATTCCTGACTTTAATGAAAAAAGCAACTAATTCATAGCCCAATTACTTTCTATTTTAAATTCTACAATTTCAAGCATTCTTTAATTAAAATCCAACTAAATGTTATTGTAATACCCATATGTATATTCACGGTCCTATAATCTGTCGATACCTTTATTGTGGCATTGAGCACAAGGTCATGTTTTTCTCTGACTGTTGATGACGTCTTTACACTAAATCCATCGGATGTTGGGTGTGTTCTTTTTTTTGGGGGGATAATTTATTCTTAGGAACATGATTCTTTTATTAGTTTGTATTGGCTTTGAACTTTCTTTCAGTAACTCTGAGTATTCTCAGATCTGTACTTTGTGTCTTTTATGTTTTTGTTAGTTGTTTTATTTGCTTTGTATTGATCTGATGAATTAAGGCCCTTTTCAGCGGACTTTTATAGTTTGTTCTTCTTTTGTGCTGATACACCATTTTTAATCATACCACATCTTCTTATTTCTATATAGCTATTTTGTCTTAAGTTCAAAAATATACCTTATCCTGACGTCTGCTGAAAATTCAAAATACCTGTAATTGCATAAAAAAGTGCACTAGTTCCCAGAAGTTCGGTAGTACAAAAGCATGTAATTTTGATCTGAGCAACAGGGCACATATGCCCTCCTATATACTAAGTAATTAGAGTTTTTTTCATTCAAAAGAAACTTTCAATAAAAGTTCTACAATGATTCAAAGTCCTTAAGCACTCATTTGATATCAAAATTACCCAAATGTTTTACTTATTGACAAAGTTAAAGCTATTCGAAGGAACCATTTTGTTTAAAATATGCACTACTATGTACTTTTTTACCGTGCCAAATTAGTGGTTCTATACTTTTTAAACTTTAGGTTTAGGCGTTCCTTAAGAAGGTAAATCCAGAAAAACGCTTTGGTCTCACGATTGAATGTTTTATTTGTATTTATCTACGGAGAATTTAAGAAATGTATGTTATAAATCATGTCGAAACTGTAGTACTGACTACTGAGCTGATGATACCCTCGGGGACTATCATGCCATCAGCAGCAGTATCGACCCAGTGGTCAAAAATTATATATTTAGTGCGCTTTAAAGGTTTTCTGGGTTTAATGTATGAATCATCACTTAAATACACAAGGAGTCATATTACCAAAAGGGATCTGAAAGACTATTTCATGTAAAAGGAATGTTTATAGATGACTATACGGTATTGGTCTTTTTTGTATGTTAATAACATTTTATAATATAATCTTTAGTTGTAGATTACACTATTATAAAGAATCACTTTTGAATGGTTAAACTAAATGTAAAGAAACGCGTCCAATAAAATGCTTCGAAGTGCATACTGACTAATAACAACAAGTTATTGCTCCCGGTCTAAATCTTATACGGAGACGAATATTTGATATTCTTGAATGGGAAGAGATTGTGTTAAAGAAATATTCTAGCCAATGAATATTTAGCCGAACAAATGCAAATAAAAAAAATGTGTACAAAAATTAAAAATTTAATTTTCGCGCGGCATAACAGGGCAAAGAAAATAATAAAAGCGAGGCTCGCAAAAGTGAAAATTAATATTCCGTCAGAAAAAAAATCCATCTATCCTTCCCCTTTCACATCCCAATATCAAATTGTAGTTAATTAACGACATGGATGGATTTGAGAACCTTAAATCTCACACTTGATTTCCTGTAACTATATGCTCCTGACTTGGGACAGGCACCTAAAGAATGTGGCGTGGTTAAACATGTTTGTGAGCGCTCAACCCTCCCCTAACCTGGGACAGTGGTGTAACAGCACAACATAAGAACAAACTATAAAAATCAGTTGAAACAGGCTTAACTCATCAGATCGATACAAAGAAAAACATCAAACAAAAACACAGACAGGACGTGGCAGGTTATATCCCTCACCCCGAATAACAAAAAAGATACTAAGTACAGATGTGAGAGTACGTAGTTACTGACAACAAGTTCAAAGCCAATAACAATTAATAAAAAATGTATTCTTTATCTGACGGACATGCAGTGGCAGCCGTAGAAGTATCCGTCAAGGAAATATCCATAACTATAAATTGAAAAGAATATAATTTTGTTAATACGCAGGTTTGGGATGGAGAGGTAAAGGCAATTAAGTCGAAAAACCAGGATTCAGACAGCCAACAGTGTGACTTCCGTTTATTTCATTTCAGAAATGGAAAATAAGCCTTCAAATTGAAATTCGATGTATTTTCCAGAATCATATATCAAAGCTTTATACAAATATCGTGTAAAAAATTGACCACAGTCGTTGGAGATTTTACTGAGATAGATAATGTGTGATTGATGCTAAAAAAGGATCTTTGTAGGGACACAGGGCTAGGCTTGTTGTCAAAAGCATAAAACATTGTTTTCCATTTCCCAATTGTAACGCCTACTATTATACAGAAGTAAATAGACATCGTATTAGGGGTTTCTCGACATGCCATTCAACTTAATAATCAGAATTATATTACAATATCCGTAATACTACGATTTTCTTTCCCTGTCATTACATCCTAGCTCTTTTGTTCTACCAGGGGTGATCTGAGCCGGATCACCCCTGACAAATCACCCTAGCTTGAGTTTCTTTGTTCTGCATGCTTTCATTTGTTCTGTAACATTTTGGCGGGAATGTCAAATCCACAATAAAACTTAGAAATATTTATACGGAAAAGACTTACTATCAAAATGTGTGTAGAAACCATCTAGTATCTATGCTGGGAATCGAACTCAAGACCTTCAGCATATAGACCTACGAGTCATACCCCTACACCAGGACGACTAGATACAAACTCTCTGTTAATTTAACATATTTAAACATTGTGTTCGGGGCTCATAAAGGGTATATACTATATAGTAATATATGAAGTATATTATAATGATTGTGTGGCGTTCTAAACTAGATTTTATGAAGCGTAAATGGGTTTTTATCTAATCTAGAACAGCTGGGATGTAAAATAGTTATCCCATTCGGACTTGGTGTGTCAGTGTAAGATCACCCTCTGGCCTCCGGCCATCGGGGTGATCTTACACTGACATACCGCGTCCTCATGGGATAAATATTACAAGATGGCCAGATTTGTTAGAATTTTTGGTTTTCAGTGTTCAAATTTGTAATGGATTTTCCTTCCCTAATTATTCTTATGGAGACAATAGATGTTTCTTGTATACTTAATTAGAAGCCTGATATCTTTGATGACTTTTCCTCACTACTGGATAAAAAGCACTGATGGTTGACGTTCCATCCTCGAGGGTATCACAAGACCGGTGACCAATACTCCTGTCCTTGCATGAAATATTATTGAAACATCAGTGATTTTCTGTTAACGTCGATAATTGATTATCGTTTAGGAATCCACTACTTCTTATAAATTCTCTAATATGTAAATGTACTGTTCGTCAAATGTTAAACCATTCGAAACACTAAGGTTAGTTTGCCCCTAGGCATACTTAGCCAGATTTTGTACAACTCTTTTACATGTTTGGTTATTAAATCCCTTGAACTTCGAAATAGATTAGACTTTCCAACTGTATTGATTCGAGCACCACTGAATGGACTTTTGTAAACAATACACGAGTCTGGCATACTAAGTTTTAAGCCTGGTATATATTATGTGCGTTATTGCATGACAAACGTCTATTTCATTTGAAGTTGCTTCTCTTTTACCAGGAATAAAGGTGAATTACTACACTATGTAAACGGTGTCCTCTATGAAACTCAGTGTACTGTGACTTCCATTTTGCAACACTAAATGACAACAGGACATTCAGTTCGGTATGTTAATTTGTTTTTTTATAATAATTTTTCACTTTTTAATAATATGAAATATTACAGAATGAATTTTGCAAACATTAATTGCATATTAACATATGAATAATAATACAATTTAAAAGTATGTGTGTGTATAGTTTCAACGTTCGATGGAATTCCAAAATTGTTGATAATTTAGATAGAAAATATTGTTACAAATGCCAAAACATGAATTAAACCATTCTTCAAAATCATTTATCTTTGATTACAAACAAGCATGGTCCCTCATATTGCTTTATTCTTGTACATATAATGAAT